CGTCAAAAAAAAAAAAAACACTACAACTACCTACTATAACCTTCATGCATCTTTCGTGTCGACCACTCCCCTACTACGTTCCACCATACTTCATCTGAGCAATGTAATTTTCCCCTTAAACTGAGCGTTCAATGTCAATGTGAGATTCTCCGTTTTGTTTTGTACGAAGTAATAACCGTTAGAAAAATAAAGTGAAGTGGTCTACAAAATTGCTGGAGACCTCCGGCTGCACGTAGCAGTTAATTGACTAACAACATCGTTGTATGGTAGTCGATCTAAAAACGGACATAGGCGGCTAGTGTAATGATCTATCGCTATATGAATTCATTGAACTGTGCGCCGTATTGTATAGTAATATTTCCGCCGTATTCGTGAATTGATATTATTATTTGTTTGTTTATTTTTCACAGCAATCGATAGAAACTTGAAATTTTACGCAAAACAAGTACTATTGAAATAAGTAAGTTAATCTAAATTTAAAATACAAATTAAAAGCCACGATAAATTAAGGAACACATCATTTGAAAATAGTGATCAAATAAATTAGACTAATAAAATACATAATAATTTTAAACAATATATAAATATTTAACTTATTAATAATTTTAAAAACAAAATAAATTGTGATTTTAAATAATTAAAAAATCTAGTGCTCTATTAAATTATAACATTTAGATTACTAGAAATAATTTTTTTTTAATCGCAAGTATTCATTTTAAAATTAAATTTATTTGAAATTTCTAAAAACATAGAGTTAGCTATTCAGTAAGATAGATAGATTTTCTTATTTAAACGCAGTTTTTAACAATTTAATAAAATAAATAATAAATGCATGTACTAAATTATGATTTAGCTCTAGTACACAAGTAAAAAACAGCCAACTAAATAATTTATAAAACATTTTATCCGGAAAATTCTTTATTGAAAGGTAAGATTGGTGTATTACTAAAATCTGTTTTCGCTTGTTGATGTTTGTGCCTTGTTTATTTGTCTTAAAGCAGAATATGATAGCTGTGCATCAAATAATATAGAGTGATAAAAGTAGAAAATGAGCTGTTCATAATAAATGGTTACAAATGAAAAGCTCTTTACAAAAAAAAATGTTTTAATCATAAACGACTTGAAAAAATGATCGGAGGACTAAATTTCTTTTTTTCTCCTATCTAAAAATAAGTTTCACATTAAGTTGCATATAATTTATCTAAATTTCCGGAAGATAATTTTATTTTTGAGGTGATATAGCCCACAAAACCTCCTAAATTCTGCCTACGAAACGTATTTTTATCAGTTTATGACTTTTTGTATTCAATCGTTTACAACTAAATCATAATTCTGTGGTTATTGTTCAAAAGCGAATTTGTTGAACGTAGCCCTTAAATTCAAAAACAAACCTTAACATATTGTGAATAAATAAGGTTTGCTAAAATTTTTATTTGTCATTTTTCGCACATGACGGATATTTTCATTTGAATTATTACAACTATTTTTTTTAATAGATTATTAAGCTTTTGCATAAAAGTTATAGAATTAATAATAAATATTCTTTAAAGATATCAAATAAAAAAAAAATACCTAAAATTAAAATACGAAAAATAGTTTGCAATTAAAATGTTTAACATAATGGAAATATCATCTTGATGACAAAAATAACATAAAATATATAAAGGTATCAGTTAAAGATTAAGTAATTATAATTTCTTAAATTACTAATATATATATTTAATAATTTTTTAAATATCAAAGAAAAAAATAGTCCTTAATTTTATTTGCTTTGTTGGAGTTCTCATATATTAAATTATTTAGAATAGAAATATCTATAACATTTACGTTGATTATACAGGGTGGCCCACCACTCACTGACAACTTAAATAACTTTTGATCCAGTTAATATTTTTAGCTGATTTTTTTTTTTTAAATAATAGTTATACGTTAGGTCTATAGCTATATCTCAATAATTAATTTTCTTACATTTTATTAAAAATATTAATTATTTTTAAATTTTAAATAAAATGTAAAAAAAAAATCTAAGATAGCTATTTTGTAGAGTAGAATTTAAGAAAAATTTTAGTAAAAAAATATCTTATTAATATTCAGTAGTAAATATTCTGTAGCGTTTTGAAGTTTGTGAAAATTTGAATTTTCATGTACTATTTTACGGTATTAAACATTGAAATACGTATTGAGAAAAGGACAGAAGAAAACGCTATCTTTTCATGATTACTGTGTATACATATGATGATAGTGTGTATACATTACAAACTTGGCATAAATACCATGATAAGAAATTAGATAAGGCAATTATTACTTATCACTCTCATTCAAAAGTATATTGAAAAGATAGCGTTTTCTTCTGTCCTTTTCTCAATACGTATTTCAATGTTTAATACCGTAAAATAGTACATGAAAATTCAAATTTTCACAAACTTCAAAACGCTACAGAATATTTACTAATGAATATTAATAAGACATTTTTTTAATAAAATTTTTCTTAAATTCTACTTTACAAAATAGCTATCTTAGACTTTTTTTTTACATTTTATTTAAAATTTAAAAATAATTAATATTTTTAATAAAATGTAAAAAAATTAATTATTGAGATATAGCTATAGACCTAACGTATAACTATTATTTTAAAAAAAAAAATCAGCTAAAAATATTAACTGGATCAAAAGTTATTTAAGTTGTCAGTGAGTGGTGGGCCACCCTGTATAATTAAATGTAATGCGTTTTTTCAAAAGAAAGAAAACAAACGAATTCGTTTATGCAAATAAAAAATGCTGATGACGTATCAGATTGATAATTGAGTGTGTAACAAAAATTTTAAATGTGTCTTGTATAAACTTGGAATTTTTTTATTTTTAATAATAATCTTACAATTAAGACTAAACTCGTTTTAGGCAATCTCTTTATGTGCGTGATCTCGATCGTCTCTTATTGTATAGCATATAAATACATTTGCATACCTTAATTATTTAATCTTTTGATATTTTAAAATATTTATTTGATGCTTTTAAAATATTAAGAAATCACTGTCATCGATGATTATTTTTTACATTTTTGTATATTTTAATGAAGGTGTCTGAATAAGATTGAGAGGGTGCCATTTTTTGTTAAAACTGATAATTAGGCGCGAAAACATAAAATAAACAGCGAATTATGTTCTTTTTATACGCATATCATTTATACAATAAAAAGCGATAGCTTTTGATCAGCATTAAAAATGTAGAACATTTAACTCACAACAGAATCCATTGTATTCTGTACACGCATATTAAGTGTACCTTAACCATTCCACTGATTATGAATGTTGTGTCAAAAGCTTTTTGGGTTGAACTGGTTCAGTAAATAAAATGAGTGTCGTTTGAACAATGTGTGTTATAATATATAGCTACAGGACATTCGAGTCAATCAGATGTACTTAAAATTAAAATATGTTATTAAGTTTTGAACAACTTACAAATTTTACAGAAATAATCAATTTTAATATCTTATGCGCTACTTTCAGAAGATTTATGAAGTTCAAATAAATAATACCTTTTGAAAAATATTGCGTTAGTCGAAAAAAATATTTGAAAAATAATATTCACTTGATTTTTATTATTGTAGCATTCAATGAAAAACCAAATTAATAACAATCTAAGATGAAAATATTCTGAAATATCTTTAACTTTTTTTTTCGTCAAACTACATATTTTTAATGAATTTCATTTAATGAATGACATTTAAATAAAATGTTTCAGAATTAATGACGTTATGTATTTATTATGGAAATTAATTAAATTGCATATAAATTTAAAAGGAGTAAAGTAAGACAATTTATTTTTTCTTATACTTGTTGATTTTAGTATTTTAAAAATTGAAAAATACCTTACTTTACTCAATTTTGACTAATTGATCTGTGTCTAATAATTTTATAATACTAACAGTTTTATATTGAAATTCTATGGGTACATTAATGTATTAAATGCAATTTAATTATTTTATTATTAAACACAAAACATATGCTCTGTATAGTGTTTTATTATGTAGTGAGAAAAAAGTATGATTTTTCATATTTTATTATGTGTTTATGGAATAGGTCACAAAATAAACCTGTAATCTATCTATTATTGTCTTAAAATCAAAGTTTACAGTAATAAAAATTATAATGTTACAATATGATTCACTTTAGATTTTAGTAAAATGTTTATCATAGGCATATCGTATTTAATGTTTTTATAAACGTTATAGAATAATTAAATAAATTAGAAAGTATTATCAGAATCACTAAAAATGTGTTATTTTGTCAAGGCCAGTGAAATATTATATAAATCCGATACAAGTATCAAAAAGTGAGATTACATATTCTTGTTTGCTCGTTTAAATTAATAAAGGCTGGTCTATAAAATGATGAAACAACCATAATTTATAATGACATATTATCAGTATAAAAGTCAAGAGAAACAATGTTATTTATAGAATTTAAATCACGATTATAGAATGAATTATCAAAATTAAAAACTATCAAACAAATTATACACTCATAAAAAAAATCGTCTTCTAGAAATAAATAAACATAAATTAAACTCAATCTTTCTCTTAAAATCATTCATCAAAACTCCAAAGTTTGTATGAAACTTAGGGTTATAAACTGCTATTTATAAAAACGTCGAATTTATCCCCGATGTGAATATATATACATATTTTATTTTTTTGAGAGGGCTACATTTATTTTTTTAGGACAAAATAAGATAAATATGAAAAAAATGTAAGGCCTTTTGTGTATTTTTTTAAAGGACAAGTGTTGACAATATATTTATGGACCTTATCCTAAAGTCTCAAGTATCATATTTTTTCTATTTTATTTATGCAGATAAAATTTTTATTAAGTAGATTTATTTTGTAAAAATAAGAGTTAGCATACAAAAAAAAAAATCCTCAAAATGTGACACATGCATTGAATAAAGTTAAGAAAGTTTTATGGAATATAGACGATTTTCCAACATATTTATTTTACTTACTTTTAAATCCTTATTGATAGAAAAGCAGAGTATAAAAAGTATCTTGTCAGTTTATGTTGGTCACATTATTTAACCACAAAAGATCTTCAGAAAAACCTTCAAAAAGTTACATGACTAAGTATTTTTTATTATATAATATTTGACCTGTCAAGAGTTTCAACAAAATGAAAATATATAATGAACCATTTAGTCTATGTTTTGTTTTTTACTATTAGTTTCCCTTGTATTTCTTCTGTAATTGTTTTTTCAGACGAAAATACTTTACCTCATTAAAAAACATTTTATAAAATAAATAATGATATCTATGATAACATTTTGTTTCAATTGTTAAAAAAAAGCAGACCAGCACGATTTACAATTGTACAGACGTTGTGATGATATTTGCTCAAGGTAAATAAGGAATTTTATAAGCTCGAAAAAGCGTCAAAGCTGTCATAGTCCGTAAGATATTTTTTTAGAAAAACTGTTACGAAATAGTATAACTATTCAAATAAAAAATTACACAATTTCTTTTTAAAAGTTCAAATCAGAGTTTTTATTTATAAAAATAAAACGTATATTTTGTAATATTGTAGATTTATATGGTATTATTATTTTATTACTTCAACTATGACAAATTTTAGCACCTAATCAAAATCAAATGTATAATTTATATATACATAGGATATAATGTAATTTTTTTATAAAATAAAACAATAAATAAAGATGCATAATATTTATATTTATCATTTTGGTTATTTTCTACATATATTTTACTTTACAGGAGTTTACAGTATTATTACGTTATACGTTTAATATAGTTTAAGTTATATGGATTTATAATATTTTCGTTTCAGCAATATTTAATTTGTTATGTTTTACATTTTGTGATATTTAAACGTTATTGATAATTTTCTTATTGTATAAAAATTAACATGTGAGAACATATCTCACTTAAGTTTTATCTTGAGAAATACCGACTTGCTCGTAGTTATATTTTCCTCAAATTCATTATACCTTATAAGTTATAACAAATAATTTTAGTTATGTTAGTTTTTAGTTATGTTTGATGTTTTTATTTTTGTGTTATTTCATTTGAAGTTATGTATTGTTCGTCGTTATTTTATATTTTTCGTTAATCGTGTTTTTTTTTTACTTTTACGATTCCATTTGTTTTTTGGTTGTTATAATGGTATGAAAACAGTTTTAAGACCTAGTTAATAGTAAAAGATATAATAACACGAATAGAATATATTACTGCCTCCTAAATCAGTCTATAAATTGGGATAATTTAATCTTTTTGGAAATACTGCATGTAATGATATGTAAAAAGTTTGATTTTATTACTGTATTGAAAATACATTTTTAAACTGATTAATTTCAATTTATACAATAATTAGTGCAATAACGCTGATGTGTCCTTGGAAGATTGTCAAAAAGAAGTCTGAATTCCGTTTAAAATTAATGGTTTTAATTAAAATCGGAAAAATAGAATATTAAAAATATATTCAGGACTTATGTATTACTATTACCTGTCAACAACAGCGTTTTGTTTTGGTTTCCCTCATGACTTAATAGAATTCAACTAGCAAGTTAAGTTATCGTATTCATACAGATATCCCGCGGATTCTGCTCATGTCACATGACAGTCCATGGCGACGTTCATAAATCATTGTCTACTTCAGATGCATTAGCTACTATTTCAACTGTTGACAAACATATTTATACCCTCACAACTATCATTATCTCGTAGAATACCGCGTAATTTAAGAGACCTATCGTTTTTATTTTAAAAATGATTCATTCTTTCAGTTTTTATTGATACAGTTTAAAAATAAATATTTATATCCAAATTTTTTAAATGTTTTACATTTTGAAGTTTGAGTACTTTTACTCTACACGCAATTTATAATTCAATGTATGATTAAATAATTTTTTACTAAAATATTATTTGGATTTTAATTTTACTAAAAAAATTTGAATACATTTTAAAATTATTATTAAACTTCAACTATTAAAGTCTATTAACAAATACAAAACTATTACATTATTTATGATATTTGATGCTATATATATTGTGTCACTTAATTGATGTATGATAAACCACCAGTATCTTTAAATATAATTCTATTAACTTCATTTAACTTTTAAGACTTATACTATACTTCAAACCTTGTAATGGGATAATGACCAGAAAAAATATCTTATTTAATTTATTGAAAAAAAAAATACATTCTAAATAAATGATCTTTAAATAATGTATTAACACTCAACGTTAAAATTTCCTTAAACTTTTTAACTTATCATAATTCAAATTACTCAATGAGTATTACTGTGCTACGATTCAAGCAGAATCAAAATTTTATTATGAAACAAAATAACTATAATCAAAAATATAAAGATGAGTAATGAAAAATGGCATAAATATGTGTTGCTATAATTACAGTAAAAGATAATAGAAAACATTATTATTTAATTTAAAAGTTTGACTACTACAATTTTAAAAAATTGAAATTTAATTTATAAACATACTATAAATATTATAAATCTTTATTGAACACACAAAGAATTTTGGGCGTTGCAAAAAAAAGTATAATTTGCTGCTAATTTCAAATGTTGACATCAGTACTCAGCAGTGACAAATTACCTTTAGAATCCACTACGTTAAGAGTTAGATAATAACATTATTTAATCTTTTTTACTATAAAAAGTAAAAATTTTGGTTAGTTTTACTGTTTTAAATCTCTTTGTTAAAAAAAAAACAAATACAATAACCTAAATATAGCGTCAAAAAGTCATTAGTGCTCATAGACAGTGGTCTAAACTAAACAAATCAATTTCGAATCGCAGCTCGTAGTTAGTGAGACGTCAAATATGAGTGATTAATACCTTCTTTGAAAAATTTAACGTCATGATAACAGCAATTAATGGTATTATATTTCATAGAAGATACAAAGTCATGCGTACATATGAAATAGACAGGACGTGACAACTTTCGAAGTTCTTTATGTCTAATAAATTAATAATTGTTTTATTACACATATAGAGCATTTTATTGTGGCCATATAATAATTGTTTTAATATACAATTGTATAGTTGCATTTTATAATGTGTATATTGTAATAATGTCATTGTTATATTCATTTACCACCTTACACATCTGTATGTGTTAAAAAAGAGTTTTACTTATTACTTTAAACTAATCCACATATCGGCAGATCTTTAGTAATAAATATTAATAAATATTGCCCTTTATTTTTGAGAAGTGTCACCTGGGAGTTTATTCCATTACTAATTTATGTTCTTGCAAATTTTTTGAACAACCAATAGAATTTTTCAAAAACTAAAAAAAAACAAGATTTTATGATTTTAGATTTGGCATGAATTTGTGGCATTATTTTTATTATTTCCCACAACATAACATATCGCAAGTAAATAACAAACTCGATAAATTTAACAAAATATTTGATATAACAAATGATCTAAAGAAATATATTTATTTCTGTAATTTTACGTACAATATAAAATATATTTATTTTATTTAAATTTTTTTAATTCATAACTGTAGGATAGACTGCAAATTAAGACAATTGACACTTATTTATTTAATTTTTAGCTAAATAAATAAAATCAAATTCCAAAATATAAAATTAAGATTCTAACAAATTCTTATTTAATATTTATTAGTCTGTTTTTGTAATTACAAATTGTTTATTTTTTGTGTTATGTATACAATTTTATAGAGTTTTAACGAATTGATTTTTTGTTTACTTTACTTAAAATATTTAATCTTAAACAATAATAAAAATTGTTTTTTTAGCTTTAAATATCGTTTAAAAATTTTGTTTACTTGACAGAAGTGTAGAGTAAGAGCATAAACACATTATGCGAACAAAAACGTCATAGGCTAAGGATTTATGGTATCCGGTTATAAGTAGACCGCAAAAACTTTGAGCATCGACCAACAAGAGAAACGTTGCTGGTGCTAAGGATAAAATATTAAACACGGTTTATACCAAGTACTCTAGAGCTTATAATTGCTGAAATCTCTTTGTTATCATAGTATTTTTTTGTCTTAAATCCATTATTTAACGATTACTGGCGATGTGTTTCTATGTATAAAGATTTAATATCTAGCTAGAGTTATATGTCTAGTTAGATGTAACGAATTAATTAGCAAAGTAATATTCTCGCCTGGTTAATTCTTAAAAATAAATGAAAATTCTAATATATAGAATGATTAGTTCAATTATTCAAATACTTACAAAATAAAAATAATATTGACAATTTTTTTTCTTTATCTACATTTTATTCTTAATTTATACATCATGAAGTATTTTTTATATTTATCCCTTTTGTCTTATACAGATAATAATTTAATTTTTCAAATTGTAAGACACATATTAAACTAGCTTATATGATAGAAAATAATTTAATTAAGTAAATGACTAATCGATAACAACTTTTGTATAAAGACATCTGATGTTAACAATATTTATGTACTAAAACGAGACGAAAAGTCTGACTGACAAATGCATAACAATAAAAATAGTTATACCCTCGTCTCTCTTTATTAAGATTTACTGGTTGAAAAGTTATTATTGACCAGTCATTTTTTTAACTAAATAATTTTCTATTATTTAAGCTAAATAAATATTTATGATTCTCTTTCAAAATATAAAATTGGCACTCTTATATGGTATAAGAGATGAACCAATAAAGTACTTAGTAATTGGTAAATCATACAATACATGTAACTAAAAGTAGCCAAAAAAATATATATACATTAAATCATTTTTTTTTAAGTAATTTAGTTTGTTATGATGAACGGATCACTCTATATAAATGATAGTATGATTATTCCTTATTTATATTAAGCTTTATATATATATTTATGAACTACAATGACAGTATTATAATAAAATAACTATAATTTTCAAAACTAGAAATTTCCATAAGCATCAGAAATTTTTACCAAAATTGAAACTTAAATATTATATATGTATAATATTATTTTTATGATAATTTGAAAATAGTTTATTGACAATACAGTTTTCTGTCTGTCAAATTAGTATCCAGATTTATGTATATATAAATAGTTAAAAATTATATGCAATTAATCATACAAATTCTTGAATTATACAAGAATTATTTATTTTTAACGAATAAAAATAATTGAGTGGGTTGGGTTTTATGAATAATAGTGATACAATAACTTTATTTAGTTTAATTTTATTATTTTTCGTATTAGTTTTTATGAAATAGAAAATAAAACTATAAAATTTTATGATCAAGTTTTAATATTATAGATGTTTCGTCTATTCCAAGGCACTAAATTATTTACAACTAAAAAGTAATATCAGAAATATATTTTTAGCTTTTTTAGTTTCAAGTATTTTTTTGTTCTATACCCTATACGGATGTTAAATATACGTTTTAAAAAGAAACATACATATTTAAGTTGCTTGTAAAATAGAATTTGACTGATCTGACTTTTAGATCAGTATTTCGGAAGTTATTACTGTTTTATAATATACACAAATAATAGAGAGTTGGTGAGATACAGATTATGACTATTTTGAAGTTATTAACACTTTTATAACTAGGCATAAAGAGGCCCTAAAATATCTATATATTTGTTTGAAAATTATACACAATTATATCATATTAAATTTAGAGATTTTTAAATAAAGAAAATAATACTAATAAAAATCTCTAAAATGTAAAATTTTTCCGAAATTTCTTCAGTATTTAATTTTTAGAAAACCTACGGCACTAGTAGTTAATAAAAAAAACTGATTGAAATCTATTAACAGAATTAAAAAACATGCTGTTAAAACATAAGTTTTAGTGTCACTGTGAATAATAAGATTACTAATACAAAATTTTTAAAAATTAATACAGAAAATCCAGTTTTTTGTTTCAAGTTTGTTCAGATCTGTACATTCATAGCAGTAAAATGTTTCATTGACATAATTCCAACGTAATTGAAAATTTGATACACTCTATTTATAAATCAACTTGTTCAATATCTATTTTGAACACTATACCATTTTTTTTTTACTCATAAATACTATCATAAAATAACTTTTACAAGTAAACAAACATCATTAAATTAAGTGAAAAATTTTCGAAAATACTAGTGTTAACAGTTTAAATTTTGCTGTATTTTATATGCTATGAAAGTTTATATATTAACTATTTAAAATTGTATGCTTCATTCCCTACTCTATTTCAAAAACTTGTAAATTCCCTATCAATCTTGAAAAAAATTTAGGTTTCATTTTTGAATATTCTATTGAAATTTATGTAAGTTTTGTTACTTACTTTGGTACTTTGATTTACTTATACATATGTAAAAATAAGTGAATATTACAATTAAGATTATTAATTAATAATCTACTCGTTTTAAATTTTGCACTCAAAAGATGGTTAAAAACGAAATGTAGTATATTGATATTCAAAATCTCTTGTAGCTTGTACAAAATAAATATATATAAAGCATTTATTTTTTGAAGGTATATATTAAATATGGTTCAGCAAAGTCTACTGAGGGTGAATGTGTTTTCCGTCAAATACAACAAGAGTGATGATAAAAACGTTTCTCTTCGGTTGAATGTATACTCGGCTATTACTAGTCTACGCTAGCTGAATAATAATACAAAAAAAAAAAGACTTGATGTTGTATTAAATTTCTGCCAAATACATAATATTTTATCGAGACTCACTTACGGTTTCAAAGATATGATTTTTAACGATACACTTCCACATCACATTGTTGAAATGTAATAAATAGAATTTATTATTTTCCGCTTTTTTGCATACTATAAAAGAACACCGACGGAGTTTATACTTCGTCAATAGGTTTAGAAACGAGCAAAGTCAATTGATCAATCAGTTCATCGCATTCACTTTCCACGAGTTTCGGAACGGTCGTATGATGAAGTGCAAAAAAATGTTATGGAAAATATATTTTGCTGTGTGCTTTTTCCTGTATAGTAATCGTAAACCATGTAATGTGTTCATTTCAGTAACAAATTCTTAAAACTAAAAAATAATACTTAGGTACACACTTCAAACAACTCAATAACGTCTGTATATTATTTAAAAATTAAGTTATGATTTGTGAAATGACGAAACGCACATGTGTATTGAATTCAAAACAAATGACACACGATCCATCTAACTAAAAGTTCTCTTTAGTAATAAAAATTTAAAACTAGACTTGTTAGGCATGCCGTTGTATTTTAATTTTAAATATTAAATATTTTTTTAAATTATTTTAAGCTTTTATTCTCTTTTAAATATTATTTGTAATACAATAGTTAATTCACGAGATGATGATGTGTTTATTGTTAAAAAAGATTGTACTATTTGTTACTTAAGTACAATGAGGCATTATAGTTTAAATTTAAAATATTACTGTCGCATTTAAATGTTACTTTAATCATAATTACTAGTGTATCTATACTACTAGGGACATTTGTACGTTAGAATAATACATTGTTATTAAGTGTAATTTGGATGTTACAAAGTCCTTCAATCGTAAATATACAAGTCTAGATCGTGAGATAAGTTGAAAAACACTAAACCGTCAAACGTGACTTGCATTTTTGTCACAATTTAATCTAATAAACACGATCAATACTTCTTTTGTTTTATCTTTAACTGAATAAAATATTCATTAATATTAGTAATATATAAAGTAAAAACTTCAACTTAATTAAAAATTTTTATAAAAACTATAAGAAAAAAAGTATTGCAATAAAAAACTTGACTGAATATTAAAACAATACATAAAATATTGTAAAAAAAGTAGTAGGAAAAATTATACTTAATAAAAAAATATGAAAAATAATATAAAAGGATTTCCATTTCAATAAATAAACTAAATATTAAAATTTATTATGATATTTGTATAGGCGCATAAAAAAAGTTTTTAAGTCAGTTTCAAAATCTTACACAACGATGTTGAAATTTGAATACTTGGCATTGGTCGTGTTATGAACTGTATATACACATACCATATGTTTATGTGTATATATTAAGTATAGACATAATTGTGATGTTTTATAAAAAAATAGTAACACAGAAATATTTGATAATTTTCTCAAGGTTTTGAAAGGCTCAATCGCGCTTAGTATTTGCAATTTACTGTTACTTTTAACAATTTTGTGAAGTTTATAATTTCGGTCAAATTTATTAATGATTATTTTTCTTCTTTTTTATTTAATTCTTCAGATGCTACCACAATTCTATACAAATATTTGTATACATAAAAGTTTACTGAGTATCATCAAATATTCTAAATATTTTACACACTACAAAAATTATTTTTTCGAAACGCCTAATCCAAAAAATGTTGTTATTTTTAAATAACGTAATTCATTTAACAAAATTCGGTAGTTATAAATAAATATTAACTTACATATTTTAATCTAACCTTGTTGGTAAAAAACCGCAAAATACCGTAAATCCATATGTATGTCAAGGACTAGTATCGACAAGATTTTTTCCTTATAAAATGTATTATTGAGAATAGTTTTTGTGCATTAATACTAACCGTAGCACTGTTCCAATTCAAGGATCCCGCCAAAAGGAATCACGTTTAAAAATAATAATAAGTGTTGATAAAATTCTGTTTAAATTATGTGAGAATATGAATGAATACAGGTTAATAACTGACCTAAGTTCAATGTTGTACAACGTCCATAGTGAACAATGATAACCAACCGTTACAAATTATGCTCAATAAATATGATGGAAGCAACGAAATATTTTTTAAGTAAGGCAAATTACTTACGGGATTTGTTTACTTTATTATTATTATAAGGGATTACTCACCAGGTAGATGAGTCTCGTTGAAATACATTTTTTCCATCTTGGTTAATCGTCTTAGTGGAATCTAAAAGGCAATAAAATATATTTAAGATTACTTTTCTGCCAAGTTAAAATATATACATATTTATATAAAAATTATTCATTGATTAAATCAATATGGTTAATTCCAGACATTCAATTATATATGTTAACATTATATATATATTATATTCGTTTGCTTTCTTTATGAAATAACAATTAATCAAATACTTACCTTATACCTTATCAAAACCTTATATGACATATGTTTAAAAATAAAGATCCAATTTATAAAGGTATATTGTTAAACTATGTACTAATTATAAACTACTTCAACGATAATATAATTAGTATTATATGCATTTAGAAATTACACTATTTCTTACATCATTTCAAGTAAGAAAATATACTTTAATTTCTTTTTTTATTTTTGTGATTTTTAAATCATTTACACATACCTATGTTAAAAATAAAATTGTAATCGTTAAATTATCAGGAAATTTACATAAATTATAATGTGTATGACATTGTATTTATTAAACTGACTTGATTTTTAACTCATTTTCCATCAATATGTTTATAATTAAAAAAGTTTATATTTGTATAAACATCTTACAATAGTATATTTATTGATTTAATTGGGTCAAAATGGAACTAGACGTCAAAAAATGATGAAATACATTTAACACTTTGTAATTAAATTATAAAATAAAAAATTTTATACATTTAAAAATTGCCTATCTTCAGCCTACATTTTTTTAAATCCAATGTAAATAGACTCATTATCAATACCATATGGACTTGATAACACCAGAGGCATATTATTTGTTAACCAGTTTTATTTAAAGGCCACTTAAATATGACTCAAAATAATTTAAAAATAGGAAAAGTATTAACTTTACATTGCATAATGTGCCACATATAGAATTATGAAGTATTTTTCATTTATAAAGCGTATTGATGAACACAGATTAATACACTTATTTGTATAATCTTTTATCATTTAATTAAAATAATATAATAATTAATTTATAATAAATATAAATTAATTACGTCAAGTAAAATTATAAAATAAAAGTATGAGTTTATTAAAAGTACAAAATTTGAACACTTATAACTTATGTAGATTTTAATTTAATTTTAATTAACACTTTGAATGACATCATTGACGAACTCATATTGACTAGTTATCTTTATAAACAGTAAATTATATTTTATAATTTGGATTAAAATAAAATTTTATAAAAAATAGTTATTTTTACAAAATTTAATGCACTATTTGACGATTAATCATTAATGTATACATTCTTTTAAGGTGTATCAAGAATCACAAGAAAATGGGACCAAAATTAAGAAGCGATTCCTTAGATAATATAGACAATATGATCTCACCAATATACGCTTTGTCAGAAGTTGGGATTGACGTAAACAGCTCAATAGGTTGGACTGTAGGATACAAAGCTATATCAGTTGATGAACCTAAAAAAACACCAAAAGTTTATCGAGTTGATTTACATTGTAGTTCAAAAAATATAGACGCAATTCTTCATATGCTTATAATATTTTTAGTTATATTTATTATTGTTAATTGTCTTTGTAAATTTATATGGATATTTTTAAAATGAAATACATGAATTTTGAAATATATAACATATTACAAGAAAAAACATAGAAAGAAAACTCAATATAACTTTTCTTCAAAATATTATTTTTAATTTTAAATCCGTGACTTTAAATGTTAAATTATTATTAACCAAATTCAAATGTAAAATAAAATTTTAAATTGTTTAAAGCATAATTACTGAAATTATTAAAATAAAAATTTATAAACAATTTTTCTAGTTAATGTTAAACATAATTTATTTAATTTATTTCTCAATTGTCTATTTGTTTTTCTAAATTAATATTATTCTTAATTTTGTGTTTTATTTTTCAGAATATTAAAAATTTACTATTTTTCTCTTCATAGTTTCCTAATTAATGTTTTTAATTAAGTATTGATATTTTTATAAGACTTAATTTATTTAAAATATACGTGCAAGTTATTCCGGCATAAACCAAAAATAAACAATTTTTAAAAGTAATTGTTATGTTTTAAGAAAATTGCTTATTTATAAAAAACTGTATTACACGTAATATTATACATATATAATTTACTCATTTTATGACTGTGAAATATTAAGATTACATTGTAAAATTTGTAAAAATTAAATATGAAATAATATATTTTAAATACAATATAAACACATATTGTATAATATGTATAGTGTTCAGTAAGTAAAAAAACAGGTTTCTATTGTTCTCATTGTTTGTAGCAACTGGCCTGTTTCCTTACTTTTTGAACACTCTATATCATAAAATAAAGTGTTAACTTTTATTTCAGAATTTTTTATTTTATCAATTAGGTTTATAGTTTGCTATATTGCTGGTTATAATAGGGGTTTTTTATTTAAAGTATCTCTTAATTGATTTCAAGAGTAAACAAAATAATCCATTATAATTTAAATGTAATGATTTTGCAACAGTTTTGAATAAAATTTAAAACTACTATAAAGTCCCATTATCAAAGTATTACTTATTAAACTATACTTAGTTATTTAAGTCTGATTTTAATTTAAATTTTATATCATAGCTATTTGTACTACTACATTTTTTTGTAAAGATTAGCCCTCTTTATTTTAACATACTTACTGGATTGGTATTAACAGCTGCAGAAATTTCCCTTGACAATATTTAGAGCTAACATTTGAATTATTTTTATTAATATTTTTTTAAAGAATTATTAAATGGGGTACTTACATTATACTCATATATGTCCTTTATTATATATATTAATCATTTAACAAAAAATATAGATATAAATAATTGAAAAAAATATTTAACTAGAAAATTATAGCAGCACAAAAATATCATCTTTAGTTTAACTTTGAAGGTCTTTTACAAGTAGAAAATGTATTTAATTAGAGTATGTAAAATAACCTTAAATATAACATATCTTTGAAGCTCACAGTATTTCTAGAATATTTTTAAAAGTTAAATTGAATAGATTACCTAGAGAGTTATAAAACTTGCCATTTTGAATACCCTCCCTGTCGGTAGGTAAAGGATCAGATTTTTGAAAAAAATATACCTATTGAAACACAAATATATAAGGTATTTATAAAAAATTATAAGTAGTAATTTTTAGGGTCAGCTTTTGAAAGTTACAAGAAACTTATAATTACTTGAAAGCTACATTAGTCAAAAACCAGATGTGGTCAACAACGTTAGTCAAAAACCCTGATACGGCAAACAACGTTAGTCAAAAACCAGATGTTATCAATTTTATAAAAGCAGACTGTTATCAAGATAAGCCGCCAGTATAGTTGCAGCCACCGACTAGCAACCATCACTCTGAAGATGGACTCTGCAATGAGTCCGAAACGTCAGAACTCAACTGTAAACATGGATATATCCTCAAGCACTTCAAGCAACAAGACAATCCATGAAAGTTTTAACACATTCATACTTGAGAGCTATTAGATAAAAACAGACTCAATAAAGTTTTAGCTTGTCGATAACTATTTTTTGAGTTTTTATATATTTCAGTTATGGGCAAGTGGGAAACACAACATACTAGTATTATAATCAGATTATTTGCGTTATGATAAAAGTAAAAAAAAAAAATACAAATTAATGTTTAAGTTTTCTTTTTTGTTCTTCAACACATAACTCTATCATAATGTCAAACATGTACAATATTCTTTTGATGTATAAATAAAAATAATACGTTATGCACAAACCACGCATTGAGTTTTACTAATATTGTTATAACAAGTTACTTGAAGTGTAATTTAATTTATACCTAAAACACACATTCAAGTTTATTAATATAGCCCAAAATGTCTAAAGTATTAATTAGTTTTACTTTTATTCAAACATATATATGCGACGTATCTCAGGCTTTAATTATGAAACTGCTGAACACGTATTATTATTTATTATTCACTTAAATACTTATAAATATAACTTTAAAAGATAGAACTTCAGATTAATTGCATAATATTTTAATAAAATGATTAGGTCATTCAACAACGATTTCATTTTTATTTTTATTGAACATTAAACATCAGTACATTAAACTAGACTTAGATAGTACTCGCAACAGTTCTTAGGAAGCCGAATTATCTTATAATAGACCAGATAGATTATATTATATTAATAAATCTTGAATTGAGTAAGCTAATGGTTGAGGAGAGGAATTACGAATATTGTAGGAGTGAAGATATATATGTTGACTATATGAATAAATGATACTGTTTCATATATATTTTTTTAATAAATTACTGCTGGCACAAATATATTCACAGTTGAATAAACAAATAAAATATTACGATAGATATTAAATTTTTATTTTACGATAAGCTATATTACTTATTTAATATTAAGAAACAATTTTTGTATATCATGAATGCCATGTAATGACTATAAAATAAACAATCTCGTTTCTTGATGATTACACTTAGCCATTTTATCCATTTTAAAGGACTTGCAAACATTTAGCATTGGGTAAAGAAAAATTGTAAATTTACCCGATATACCTGTATATCTCTTTTCTTACTTTTATTTTTCAAGATTTTCCGGAAGAAACAGTAGAATAGTAATGAAGTAAAGTACTAAGTAAAAAAGCTATGAGACTCTCATAACCACAAATATCTATAGGTTACTAATTTTATGATCAGATTTTATTAAATGAAAATATACTAACTTAACGAGAATCCTTTAAAGGTATCTCTTACAAAATTCCTATTCGAAAAATTATTTTGTTCATATTTATCAATCTAATGTATGTTAGTGGGGGGGATTGATGTAGCAAAATTTATGTTTCAATTTAAATAAAAGAATGAAGTACAAAACTATTTTTTGTTTATTTTTATTTTATTATTTTATAAAAACATGAAAAAACAAATTATTATAGTTTTATTAAAAATGTTTTATGAAGTCCAGGTATAAGGAAAACACAATTAAAATATCACTGGTTTAACATTTCTTAATGTTTTGAAAAATTGAAGCTTAAAGAATTTACTAAACCTCGTTTCAATATAACTAAGTTATTTCCTATATATTATAAATGTCTAAATGTATTGAAAATTATGATTAAACATTTACACCAGACATTACACAAAGAAAATAATTTCCAACTTACGTTATTCGGTAAGCTGTGTGTAATACAGTTCATATTGTGTGCATTAAATTGATGTACGAGAAAACTCTGAGAAAATTAATATGACTGTTTACCCCTCTTCTATTTGCTCAGATTGACAAATTATAAAGAATAATTGATTTGTCATTCACTAAATTTCTCCAAAAATAATAATACTATTAGAAATTTTGTATAATTATATTTAGTATTATTTATTTATTTTTTAAAATAGAGCTATATATTGAATAAAAAAAAAAAAAAAATTAAGAGATTAAAACCACGACTTCCACAAGGCTTACTAATTTCCCCATGATTATCGTCATCCGACAATAGCACACATTTTTAACTTAATACATTTTGTTTTTATTATAAAAGCACTATTATGTAGAAACAAATACCTCAAAAATATTTTAAACAAAATCAACATTATCAATTATAATCCTCTATTAATTAAACAACAATATATGAACTTATTTTACAATAATTTAGATAATTTAAGAATAATTAATTACTATAATGTGTAAATTAGTCAATAAATGTAAAACGCCTGTAACAACAAATGCATATGCATTTAAATTAACTAATCTAAAGTGCCGTTTTAAACCAATCGAGTAAATAACTTATCTACTAATGTTTTTAACGATATACGTAATAAAAAAAATATTTGTTTCTTAACATAAGCATATGATGCACATAACCTATTTGCGTAACATTTATTACACTAGCTGTAATATGCAACTTTTTTATGTTTAAAAGGACGATTACTTGGAACGGAGAAAAGAGCAGGAGGGAATAAAATAGGTACATATTGCTTAATGAATGAAAATAAATGTATGAAAATCTATTAAAGTTCTGTAAATAAAATCTTAAAGGTAAAGGACAGAGGGTAATTTATATACTAAAAGTAGCAATTAACAATTATCAGTTACTAAAACAAAGTAACAATTTGAAATAAATAAATGTTTAAAATTTTGATCTGTATGATTATAACCTGGATAAAATAAATAGAGAGATTCATTATTGAGCTGAATTATAGAGATATATGTCATTGGATATATGTTGAATAAGGCACGACAGCATAGGACGTACGGACATAGTCAAACCGGTCACACGAAAGGGTATGAGAGGGGAGTGGACGGGGTATCAGAGACTGCCACTTTCTGTCTAACACTAGCATATTAAAGAATCCATTTATATCTAACAAAAACCATTGTACTTTTAATTTATTTGTAAAAAAGGTTTTTTTTAATAATATGTTTGATTGAAGCACGGACTTAGGAATTTAATTCAGAGGGTTTTGAATATAATTTTCATCCTTTCCACGCTATATTATCAAGTTTAAATCACTTTAATGTAAATAGATTTGAAAATTTTCAATAGAAGTTCAGTCCCATAGACTGGATTTATGATTCATCAAACAAGTACTACTCTAATAAAAGCATTTCTATAAAAACGATGTTTTTATTAGTTTTTACCAATTAGTGGCGGTAAAATGATAAGTGATTAAGGGTATAGATCACTCTACCACCATTACCAAATACTTATTGACATTTTTGTAGAATTTTAATTATACAGAGTGATCGGTATATTATAAGCCACTTGAAAAAATTTTTTTATTCCTTTTAATTGTATACAATTATTGATTTATCAGTTAATAATTAATTTTTAGAATTATCTTTGATAACATACAGGATTGTCAACTTTATTTTTTTTAAATGGTAACGTACATATTTACTTAACTTATAAAATTATCTAATTAAAAAATGACTAGTTGATAACAGCTTTTGTAACAGTACTTTAATAGTATTCTCATTTTTATACTTAGGCGGAACGAAGAGTACGACTGGGAAATAACTAGAGATAAAATAGCTCACCTCTAGTCACTACTTTAAATTGTTAATTACATTTGAAATACTAATTCAAAAGTTGTTATTGGCCAGCCCATTTTATTAATTAGGTTATTTCCTATTTTATAAGCTAGTTAAATATGCATATTGTCATTTAAACAAATAAAGTTGACACCTCTATAACGTATAAGGAATGATTCTAAAAAGTAATTATTAGCTGATAACAAGAAATATATGCAACTACAAGGGAAATTTTTTTTTTCAAACTGATCACTCTGTATAATGAGTTAATATACTTAATTAATATTTTAACATTTTTTAAATAATTCATGGACAATGTCTCAAACATGTTTAGATGGTTAAAATCAATGACTCTAGATTAACAACAATTTCCAAGTTCAAACTTTATTAAAAACACATTAAAAAGTTTAAAAAATTAATTGTATAATTTATATTTTTATACAGGTTCAACCTAGGCAATTTTTAATAAAAAACTGTACTTTTTTTAATATCTGTTTATCACTCAAAAATTAAAACTGAATTTTTTTTCATCATTAACTATAAGTCATAGATAGTGTGTACTAAAAGTTTGAAATTGATGTTAGTTTTGTACTTATATGTAGTGCGCAGTCGCTTGCATAATGAAATGTATTCATTAGTTCATCGGAGTGTTCTCTTAGATGACGTGCTGCAGCTGATAAAAATTTTATTTACTTGTTTTTAGCGTTTGTTTATAATGTGTGTGCTATTTTAATACGTTATATTGTACTTGAACGTATATTAGTATTTGTCTTTATTTTTAAAAGGGATAACGGAACACAGTCGATTGTGTCGAGCTCAACTGTGTAATTCATGTACATTATATGTAATGTACAGAAATTGTTTGTAATATTTGTCAAGTAGATGTTTGACGGATTGCAAACTTGCCATTAGTTCAGTGTCTATAAAAGCACCAGGTCAGAGTTGTATTATAATTGTAAATATTGTATAGGTTAATATTATGCTCATTAATTGATTGTTACGATAGAGTGAAGACCTACTAACATTAGTTATAAGTAGATTATGTATTATTTATATTAGAATAAAAGCAGTAAAACCCAAAAGTGACATACAGTCCATAAAAATTTGAATTTTATTTATTTGTATTTTAATTTATCTATTAAAAAGAAAGAACTAGCAAAGACGAGATCTAACTCAGAGAATTGTCGTCCGAGTAGTTGAGTTTCACAACTGTAACATTGATATTAAAGAAGTAATTTAAATTTGTTATAAAAGCGACTATTTTACTTTTTACAACTAGAAACGTCATAATAATATAGTAAAATATAAAAAAAAACTGTAATTTTATTTAAAGAGTGCTATAAAAATGTTGAGTTTTTTTGAAGTATTAGTGCAACCATATGTGAATGATTTGATATGGATTGATCCTGTTGCCATTTAAAAATTAAAATTGAGACTCCTATAAGTTACAAGATGATTCTAAAAAGTAATAACTGATAAATTAAAAAATATATGTAACAAAATAAATTCTAAAAATTGTTTTTTAATCAGTTACTTTATCGTATTATGATAAATGAATAATCAAATAAAAAAAATTAGTAATTATCTTTCATATTATATTATATAGAAGTTAAAAGGATAAGGACTTGAACCAAACCATAATATTTATACTAATTGAATACATTTTAAATTTAATTCAAAGTGCATTGTACGCATAAAAATGTATGTTCAATAAGTCAGGAAACAAGTCAGTTGTTACAAATAATGAGAACTATAGAAATCTGTTTCCTTACTTACTGAACATTTTATATATTTTTTTTAGGTGTTGAATTTTCAAAAGTAAGTATTTTTCTAATATGTCAATTTATTGAGAAACCTGTAGCGATAAAAATTACATAGAATCTAAAAATTAGAAGAATTTATGTCAAACCTTAAATTTAAAAAACATAAAGAGAAAAAATAAAATTTAATTTAACATTTTTTTTATTCTTTTTAATTAAATAATATATTTGAATTTTATAAATAAAAAAACAGATGGTGTTTTTAAAAATCTTTCAACATCAATAGTATCTTTTATAAATATTTCAATTGATAGTAATGTTAAAGCAGTATAAAATATAAACTAAAAAAGAATTACAATAATTATAAATTTAATTATATATATATATTTTAAGAGACTTTTTTTCTATAGCAATATTTTACTTTATACACTTTATAATATTAAAATTATTGTATATTTTGACTTAGCACGTATCAAATGAAAATTTTGTACTAATCGACGTGGTATTATTTTAGTAATGCTCAAAGTTTCTCATTAATAGTGTCTCAAGTAGACTAGGGGCAGTATTTTAATATCTCTACATTCATGTAGATAATTCTATACAAAATATAGTAACAAATAAAACCACGTTTATATATTTTTGTGGTCTCTTTAAACGATTTAAATGCAAAGTTTCACGAACATTATAATGTCATAATATCACCGTACAAATGAGTATTAAAATATATTTTAAAATTCATTTAAAATATAATTAATGATTAATTTTCATGAAAAAAATATTAATATTTGACCAGTAGACTTAAGAGTTGTATGTTAATTTTCTTGAGTTTAAAGACATTTCATTATTGATCAATATTATTTTAAAGTGGTTGAAAAACACGAAATATTATTTTGAGTAGGTTAGAAGAACATTCAATATTTAACAGAAATGTACATACTTTTTCAGTAAAAGTACTAGTATATAATATAAAAAGTTCTTCGAATATTAAATATTCCATGAATAACATCTGCATAATAGTGTATAATCAAATAAAATATCACAATTGATGTATTATTTTGTTCGTTAAATAATTATGACTAACTGCCGTAAATTAAATTTTATGTAAAAAAATATTAAACGGTTTAGTATAGTAGAATTTTTAAATTAGTGAAACGTTACCTTTGGAATACACGTGGATTGTAGGCTGTTTTATTATTATTATTTTTGATGTGTTGGATATCCGAGACAAGAGTGGCGACGGCGGTCATGGACCGGGCACGACTACCGGCAACCAACTACCGGTGGAGTATTTTGTTGGGCGAATGTATGCGCTGCTGTCGGTGGTTTTAACCTTTAACGACGGGGAGAGTGCCGTTTTACCCTCGGCCGATTATCCCCATTCGAATAAAAACACCTTTTACCCATGGTGGTCATACGAAAAAATAATAATTATTATTATTAGAATTATTCTACATAGATGTACACAGATATGTATTTATGAATACATTATAAATATTATTAAAAAATATGTATAATATTATATATTATACATTATTATTATTATGTGGTGTTAACTTAAGCTTTAGAATCTATACTGAAGGGGTTCTTGCACACATACACAAAACGTTGTCTAATGACGTCACGAACAAAGCATATATTTTCACACGCAGCGTTTCCAAAACTACTCAGTAAGCGCATCAACAGGTGTGTAGGACGTGAATACTCCGTAAAAAAAGCCCTTCACACGAACAGCGATTGATTTATATACACGACATGTCTGTTAATATTTTATGCAGTATCTTAAAACATACTTAGGCACGTATTATTCGCTATATTGTCCAGCAATATTTGAATTTCACACATAAAAGTTTAAACGAACTGACATCACAAATTAGTTTGGTATCTTACAGTTCTTACCTCGAAAATAATGGTCTACGACTTTTCTGACAGCCAGTCGAATTATATACATAATTTTCTTAGCTATAGCAAGTAATATAAGTTTAAAATAGTAAATATAAAAGTGAAATAGTTACAATGATACATGGCTATTTATTACAGTATTGTGTACAGTATTACAGTATTATGTGATTTAAACTTTTAATTGTAATAGTTCCAAACAAGTTATTATTCGTATTATCTTACTATTAATCTTTATTGAAATATGAGCATACTCTTGAGCTTTTAATAATATCTGAATTTAATATTTATACAGATAAATGTATAATTGTGTAAAAGGTATAAATAAACTAAATGTGTCTTGTAAAAAAATTATGTATGATTAACATAAAATCTTTATGGGTTTCCAATTCAAATTTAGTAATCTATGAAAACATATATATGTATCTTATAAGTTAGACCAATTGAATTTCTTTAACTTCGGTTGTCTATAACTTATCTTTTATTAGATTATAATTTGTTTTTAGAATTTAAATATATATTTTATTTGTCAACTATTAAAAATTTAAAATTATATAAATAATATAATTTTTTTTTTTTTGGAGTATGGATTGCTAATGGAGTATACGTACCCCAAATACAGCGCACCCACCCTCACTAAATACCCACAATATATATACGATTTTTAGTAAGTAAAGAAACGGGTTTCTATTGTTCTCATTGTTTATAACAACTGGCCTGTTTTCATATTTATTGTACTTTTTATGTATTAAAATTCTTCTAGCTCGATGTGTTATTGTCCGACAACTTTTATCAGCCCATAAAAATGTTTGGTAAAATGTTAAAAAAATAAAAACATATTTTTTTTTTTAGTAGTAATTAATAAAAAATATGCTTAAAAAGTTTAAGAAGATAATAATTTTATAAAAAAAAAAATTGTTTTATAATTTAATTAAAAGTTATAAAAATTGTTATGTAAGCCTGATACACTACCTCTCTTTTTCTCTCTCTCTTTCACTCTCACTATATATATTATATATTTATATATAATACGTAATCAGTTAATATAATATTCAAATGTTTGTTCACTAACTATTCTGTGAATAATTTTAACAACAATGATTTCTTACGAAGTTCCCTTCACTCGTATTTTAATGAAAATTCTCAGTAGTAATAATGAGCTTATTAATCTTATTTTTTAACTTTAATGATCGATGTACGAGAACATTAAAAGTATTTATACATTGAAGATCTACAAATACATTCCAACACATTTTTATTACTTAAAAATATTTGTATATAACTATAGTTAAATACAAATCTATAAATAAAATGTAAATTATAAAATATTTTTAATTTAATGAATAAAATGCACAATGAATATTTGTGTTCAGTTTACTAAGAAAAAATAATGAAATCGCTTTCATTAGTCTAAATTTTTTTTTCAAATTTAACGTGTAAAATGACAGTATTATCACAAGTCGATGTTCAACAAATTTTAATTAAATTTTTATATTTTTTTAACCCTTATTTTTTCCTTATAATAATAAAAAATTCATTTATTTCATGATATTGATTTTCTCGTCTCCGTTAAACACGAATGTATACAACTACACATACATATTTATACATTTCTTTCATTTTAACAGAAGTACGGCCTTAAACTATATAGAACTTTGAACTCTTTATTGTCTTAAGAGTTTTAGCTTAGCATAATTCTAATATACCTTGTAGACTGATTTATAATTTTTCTTAACATAATTCTTTAATTTGAGTAAACATTTTTTTTAATATTGATTTTGGAAAATATAGCTTATTAAATTAAAGCTAGTATTTTAAATTACAAATACATATTAAATCCATACATTTTATTAAAATATTGATGGTTAAAACGAAAATAGTGTAAATTACATTTGTGTAAAATGAGTTTTACCTGAATTGAATATTAAAAATGCAACAATTTCTTTGGTACCAATGGTATCAAAAAAATGTATATATACATGCTAAAGAACCATATTATTGCATTATTAAAATCTACATTTAATGTTGTCATTATAAAAAAAAATTCAAAAGACTCGCTCGAAAATGTTAAAATTGACTCAATACACTTTCACTTTAATCATCACATATATAAAAATATGCCAACACTTTTTGTGGTTGTTTGTAGTAAATGATATTAACTCTAAAAATATAAAATTCAGAAATCCATAAAAATTATTATTGTATATCCATATTCTTTGATATTTTAACTTTAAACATTTAAAATATATCTGACAGTGATTAAAAGCACTGTCATAAAACAATTCAATTTGATTGTTTACAAATAAAACTTAAAAAAATTTTAACGAACATTTTACAAATAACTTATTTTTTTTATTCAGAGAATTATAGTTGGAACATGTATAATTTTTAAACTGAGATTACATTTAATAACTTTAGATTTGATATAGATTTAAAAAATTAAGACGTTCTACAACATTTAAAAATTTTCATTTTAATTTGAAAATGAAAAAAAATGATTATGTGTATAATCCTTTTTTGTACTAAAGTTTTCTACTAATTGTACTAATTTATGATTCTATTAAAAATTGGATTTTTTATGGATAGTCACAAAAAAATATTCTTTCCAAATAGTATTTTTTTAATAATATTATTATAATGTTCTTTAACGTTGTTATAATATTTAATATTACATTAATCTTATAAAAATGTTTTTAAAATATTATTATTTTTTTATTCTATCTAGGACAGCGGATAATACAATTTTTTCTCAACTTCGTATCGAAGCTAAAAAGTAGCCAACCAAATTCCCGATTAAACGCTTAACTTTTTTTGACTAATAGAAACTTATAAATTTAAATAATTAAGTCAAAATTTATAATTTTATTGGATACAAGAATTTGTATTCGAAAACTATAGTACTAAATCTTTAGAATTCAAAAACGTATGTAAATATACTTAAAGAATTATTAAAAAATATAATTGTTAATTAATGCTGAATTAAAAACATAAATATTTTTTACTCTCCAGATACTTATATTTTTTAAGATTATTTTCATTAGTTTAGGACTTTTAACATAAGATTTCTTTTTAAAAATTTTAGAAACTAGAAAAAATTTTTTTCTTAATATTATTTTTCATTTCAATGAATTTCTTGCAACTACGTTATAAATTTTAAATTAAAAATTATAGGTGTCTTAATTTATGAGGTGAAAAACTTTTTAAAAATCAATTTATGGCCATATTACAGTCATAAATTATTTCATATATTAATTTTAACTAATTTATTTTATCTCTCGTACAAATATTTTGAATAAGTTATTCTTATCTACCTATTGTACACAGTCATTTTTTACTTAAATTTTAACAAGCATCAAAGATTTTTACATCAATCTGAACGTATAATAACATATGGTAATTAATATCATTATGTAATATTAATTTATTAAAATTTTGTTAATACTTCATCAAAAGGGTATAAAAGTATAAAACATTTGATTTTTTGTCTCAACGTTACAATTAACTTTTATGTACTTACTATTGCTTAATCATTAACTCATTTTTCTATATTAATTCTATATTCTTAGAATCTCAATGTTATCTTTTAAGTTAAAAATATTTTTTTTTTAACAAAATTTTAATTATTACGCTATCTGTTACAATATTGAACAATAAGCTTAAGTGATAACATAAAAAGAAAAAAAAACAAAACAAAAAAAACAGACAGAAGAGACTGAGTCTCTGAGACCTCCTATCGGAGGTACTTCAACATGAATATTAATTTAAATTTAAGTTATTAGCCCTAACATAATATTAATAATAGTGATAATAGGTTGAATTGATACATATACTTTTTTTTTTTTTTTTTTAAATTATAAAAGTAGGTCACGACACCACTGTCTTTTTAATCTTTTGTGGGGATTAGTTGCAGATGATAGTTGGACAATAAGGGGATTGGAATGATGTGTTAACTTGTTATTGAATCGTTTGTAGTGGAGCTTGGCTAGTTTAGTGACGGTGGGTAAATTGAAGTCGGAATGAAGGGTATCATTTGAAACATAGAAGGGAGCTTTGGAGATGACGCGAAGGACTTTGGATTGGAACCTTTGTATACGGTTTGTATTTGATACTTTGGCTGAGCCCCAGAGTTGCAAACCGTAGGACCAGATGGGCCTGAGTAGTAGTTTATATAGCAGTAATTTAGTAGGTAGTTTGATATTTTTAGAAGTTAGGAATGGCCGGAGAAGACAAAAACGATCGTTTAAGTTAAAAATATATTTAAAATATTAATTTATAACTAAAAAATATTTAACTCAAAAACCACTGAAATTAATAATTTTTGAGGTTTTTATGTATCCCTTTCTCAATTAGATCATATTATAATGTGATCCGATTCAAAATAAGGTTATTTTTGATATCCAGTTTTATTTACCATTAAAGGTTATCACATGGACATTCTC